ACCTCTTCCCAATCCATTTTGTTTTGTGGGTTAGGACTTAACTATTGTAAATCATTTGCTCAATAAATAGCGAAGCACCAACTATGTGCCAGGTCATGAGCAGGGCTATGGGCATAAGACAGTGAACATGGCTGACCTTGTCTGGGTCTGTGGCACTTTCAGACTCTCTGTCCTCGCTCTGCTGGTCCTGCGCACATGGGAAATCGGCTCTGTGTAACTGTGCCCCACAAGGGGAGGCTTCTAATAATGCCATTTCACCACAGGAGGAGCGTAGCTTAGCCTGTGGGTCAGCAGCCACAGGCTGAACACATCTGCCCCACTTGAGGATACAGCAGCAGGGGTGCCACTGGTGAAACCTAGAAGGAAGAGGAGGGAACCTGGCTACAGGGAAAGCAGCCTGAACTTGGAGTTGAGAGCCTAAGTTCCAGCCCCAAAGGGGCTCGCTTACCTCAGTGTTGGCTGGCCAACTAGGTAAGCAAGGATATAAGCCTGTGGGCAGTAAAATGAACATGGATGACCTCAAACATGCAAAAGTGTGGGCCGAGGGCCTGTTGTACACAGGATGAGCTTCCTTCCAGCTGCAACTTTCTCTGGGACTAATTTTGCTCTCCACGAAATGCTTCCCACTGGCAGACACACAGGAACAGTTCCACAGAGGCGGGTTTCTAACTTGCCTGAAATGTTGTGGCTTCTCACACCCCTTTTTTACCAAAAATAATGGAAAGTTCAGGGTGGCTGAACAATTCAATCTAGAGAGTAAGTGAATTGGTAGTACCATGAGTCTTGCTGGGCACTTAGCAATATAAGTTTCCTAGAAAGGCCTCAGGTGGGATGGGAGGTTTTATTCTCCCTGGAATATAGAGCCTAGGAGAAGAGACAGGGGTCTTTATACCAAGTTCAATGTCCTTTTCATGACACTGTTTATCCTGCCTGGTCCTATACAGAAATTGGGCCATGGTCAGGATCAAGGTACAGAATACGGGGTGGCAGTGGGCCCCACCAAAACTTGAGGTGTTCCTGAATCCCCTGTTGGCCCTGCTGCTCTACCCTAGCCCCAATGCCCACTTACATGCTCAGTGCTAGGGAAAGACCTGGCCCAGCCATGCCTAACAGGCTTAGGGTGTCGTAGTGGGGTTTCCAAGTACCTGATAGATAGCTGAGGCTTTGGGTCCCTGGTAAGAGATGGGGGTGAGGGCGCAGGGAGTGAAGGAGGAAGAGCGAGAATTTCCTGATTACCTCAGTCAAGGCTCTGAGGACATCAGGTCAGTAAATCTCAGGTCTCTGTTTACTTCCCTCCCCAGTCTCTCATTCTGTCTTATCTGGCACTGATAAAGTGCAGGCTCTGAAAATGTGCCCTACGCTTGATAAGGGTAGGGATTCCTAAAAGCTTCTCGGAATGAATGACTCAGTCACAGCTGAAAGGAGCCACATTGTCCAGATGTGGGCATTGGCTCACACACATCTCCCAAAGCACTTCTACTGGGGTTCCTGCTCCTGGTTTTCTGTCTCCATGGACACACCCTAAGTCCTTGGCTGGGACTCCTGTGTGGTATCTCCTGCTCCTTGAGGCACCTTGGCTGTCTCTGAGGGCCCCCATCAAAATCCAAGCAAGGGTCAAAATCCCCACCTCAAGATACACATGTTGACCTCCCCGTCCTAAAAAAAAAAAAAAAAAAAATACTATGGGGCTCTGTAAGGCATTTGTGCTTTCTATGTGAGGACCTGGGCCAACAAAAGGAAGAACAGGGTTTGCTAAGCATGCTGTCCTGGTCACTTGTGCTCCTAATAAAATCCACAGCTCTTGCAGGCCCCTCTGGCCCTACCCCAGCTTCCCACTCCAGGTGGGCAGCTCTCAGGCCACCCCAAGCATCTGGCTTGCACACACCTGCACCAACACCTTTGTTTATGCAGTTACCTCCTTGAAGACTTTTCTGCAGCCTCTTATCTGTCCAGCAGCTGAATCTCCTCCAATACGTGCTCCCAAGCCATGGCTGGGCAGTGAGAGAATGTGAAACTATTTGATGTCCCGATAGCCCTACCAGAGTGAAAAGGACCAGCAGGCTCAGTCATGTTGCTGAGGTTAAACATCAACTGTTTAAAAACCAATCATGGAATTTGCAAATGGGTAAATACCATATTGTGCGCGGGAGCCAGAGAATTTGTTCAAAAGCAGCTACTTGGTATGTGTATGGGACCTTAGTTACAGAGCAACAAAGCAAGCCAATAAAATACATATTCTGGTGTTTCATAAACCTACTACAGCAGGGAGTCTAATAGAAGCAACTGTCCTGCCAAACAGAAAATTCCAGATGCTGAGGAAATAAATAAGAAGAGGCTGTGTACTGAGGAACATCAGAGAAAGCTAGTGCCCGCTTAGAAATGGAAGTTCACTATGTTTAGAGTAACCTGAGATATCCCAAGCTCCTCCAGCTTGGACAGGCAGATGAGGTTACACTAGGAAGAATCCACATTCCATTCCATGCCCCGCCTGCTCATGTTGGATGGACTTCAGGCCCTGGAAGTGTTCCATGCCTGTTCTTGGAGTATCAGCGATGTCTCTCAGCTTCTCATGAACAAAGCAGGACCCACCAAGTGTCCACTGGGCTCTCCAGACCTGGCTACTGCTTGTCCACACTCAGGGAAGTGGGCCCCTGCATGCTGGTATGTTGTGAAATCAAGGAAAAGCTCTCTCTCCAACTTTTCATTTGTATACTCCAGGGACTTCCAGAATTTTAACAAAAGAGCCCTTTAAGAATGTGACTCATGGGTCCCCACCTCCATGGAACTCAAGGTGGTCTGGATCAGGAGACAAATCTAAGCAATAAACATCACAGGTTATTCAGGGTCATCTCTCTTCTCCCAATGATCAGGTCTTCATTACTGGTTCTTGCTGGTCTTGTCCATCTGCCTCTTCCCTGGGAGAATGATTTCCCAGCAGCGTCCTCAGTCCTCATGAGGATGTGGCCAGACTTGTGAACCCCAGCTTGGGCTTGAATGGAGTCTTCCATTTCAAAAGACATTACTCTTTTTCTTTCTTAAAATTGCCGCAGGAGGCAATGCAGCTGGACTGCCGTCACAGATGCAAGCAATTCTCGTCACAGCATAAGGTATTAATGATGTCTTTGGCTCATGTTTGTCTTGTTATAACGGACTGAGAATTAAATTAATCTAAACAATGCTATTTATAAAACCTTTATTTAAATTTAGAGAGTACATACTTTTATAAAAGCTATTAAACACCTAGAAAATTTTTTTTTACAAAACTGTGTAATTGCTCTGCCCTCAAAGGGATTGGAAGAAATAATCCCAAATCCCTATAAACTCTAACACTCAAAGAGGCTTTATAATCCATAGTTTCCCAAATCTACTCTGGCTATAAAGTCCCATAAAAGTATAGAAGAGATAAAAATTCTTGTTGGAGGAATTTATCACCTGCCTCCATATCTATAAATGCTCTGTGAACACAAAATACAGTCATTTGGATTCACTGGAAACCACCTATATTTTTCAAGAATTTATTCTGGCCAAGAGCTAAGAACCCAACAATGGGTCTGGAGTTCCTAATTTGTGCAGCTATCTCAACACAATGCACAGCAGCCAAACTTGAGTGCAAAAGTTTCCACAGCACTCTGGGATGGAGAGAATGCATTTGTAGGGCAAATTCAACTTTTTCAAATGGCATTTATAGCAACTACCACATTGCATCCTCTACATCTCTGTGAGGGAAGCAGGATGGGTATTAACTGCTTCAGAAATAGAAACACAGAAACTCAGGTGAGGTCAAAGAAAAGAAAAGCCACCAATGGAGCTGTGTTTAGAAGATAAACCCCAAATCTGAGACCAGCTGGGTATGCCCATCATAACAAGATCCCCTACTGTCTAAAGACAAAGCCTGTTACTTTGAGACTGGGTGAGTTTAGCATTCCTTGCTTTGGGGCCAATTAGGAACAGCTCAGAGAATGGGTGGACCAGTTCTAGCTGTGATCTGACAAATAATAACTGGGGACCAGCCAGGAACTTCTCCTCCACCAACTCTATCCCACAAGGTAAGTCTTAAAGGAGTGTTAGGGGAGAAAATCCTTCATTTCTCAGCAGAGGACACCTAGGCCCCTAACGCCTGTAAAACCTCCAAGGCAAAAACATCTCAATACCAGGTTCAGATTCCAAGTGGAACAGCAAGGTGGGACCACTTGGAACCCTACCATGCTGGTTATTAAGCTGATTTTCTCTTGGCTTCAAGTTCATCTTTTATACTATATTTTGAGATGCTGGGGTTGGGATTCTGCAGACATTCCTGCTTTCCTCCCTGATAGGCTCTGCCCATAGGGAACGCTAAAGGAAGCCTACGAGGCTAGAGGAGGAAGAAGGAACTTGTTCCTGGTTTGCTTCCTGCTTCTCTCTGTTGGCTTCCTGTCCCTGTCTATTTCCCCTAGCAGTGCTTCTTGTTCACTCAGACAGTGTAAGTTCCTTCCGGAAGCATTTGAGTCCAGTTTTTGGTTTCTCCAGAACTCATAGAGCCAACCTCAGCCAAAACAGCTTCCCCACCTCAGAGGCAGGGGTACCATCCCCACAGGGGCTCTCCTCTGAGCTCATAGACACCAGCCCCAGCTGAGGAAAGTCCCTACTCCCCCACCTCAGAAATCTGAGATTCAGCCCACACGCCCCTTCTCCAAGGGTCTAACTTTCAGTAAATCCAATATCTTCCCCTTGTCCCCAGCCGTGGAGGTGATAACCGCTTCCTGCAGGTGCCACCTCCATTAATAACTTCATGTTGTCTTCCCGTCTTTTCAGTTACCTGGTTAATAATTCTTGATATTAAATTATCTCTGGTAATATAACTGGTATGACTTCGGTCTCCTGCCTGGACCCGGACTAATTCACCCACAGTTAGGCTCTAAGCATTGATGGTGGGAACTGGTGCCTGGGGCTTCCCAGCCCCATCTGACTGAGATGCTGCAGGGGATGTCCCCACCCACCCACCCACAGTTCACTTTCTGATCTGGTTTATCACAGCCAACCTTGACACAAGCAAGGGAACATTCAAATTTAAAGAACATAGTGAAATTTGTGGCAAATGGAGCTTAATTGCTGTACAATCTCAGAGGATAGCTGCAGGGACTCCTTCCTAAACATTCGAGTGTTTTTCCTTGCTGGTCAGAAGTGAGCTGTATGGAAGCGTCCTCATCATAGGTTTTTGAGAGAAGATGATCTTGTTATAGTTTGCGGTCGGACATTCTCTGGAATCCGTATGAAAGTGTACGGGTTCTGGGATAACGGTGTGCTCCATGTCCAGCACCGAGAAAGCATCCCACACTGATAATGTGGTCTCTGAGTCCGTGTCCATGAACACCATGTTGCCGGTTGTCTTGGATGACTTTCTCCTTCTCAGATGGATGATGCTGGAAGACTTGTTCTGCCTCAGTGTCCCTCCCCTTTTCTCTAGAGCTTGCATGCATTCCAGTTCTCTAGCTTTGCTTTTCTCGATGAGTCTTCTCACCATCGGGGAGGTATACGTAACATAGGCTGGCCACGGGTCATGTTTGTCAAGCAGTTTCAGGGGAAGCCCAATGTTTTCTGTGCGTTCTACCAGTAAAGAGAAGGTAGGCAATTTAGAGGCCCTCACAGACAATAATTCAATTCTTCAAAGAATTGGAGGGTATTAGAACTACATTCTGAATGTCTCCCCCTCATGCATAATAGCCTTTCCATCCCTTGTGTTCAGTGGGAATAAAATCTAATCCTAAATTGGGAGACAGAATGACATGCCATAGAATCTATCAATTAAAGAACAGCATGATATTATACTAAAGAGCGGGGAACTTGGAGTCAAGTAGGCTTGGTTTCAGATCTTTGTATAACATCAAAGTTTAGCTCTGAGCTTCTATTTTTTCCACCAATAAAAAATGGTTACCATAAGCCTATTGTAAGGATTAAATAAAGTAGTATATTTTAAGGGTTTGGAACAGTATGGGCTTTAATGCATGGGTTCTGCATTGAGACTGCTTGAGTTCAAATTCCTTCTCTACTAACTTTTGCGAACCTTGAGCAAGTGTCTTAACCCTTCTGTGTAAAATAGTGATTACAGTAAGATCCACTTAATAGGGCTTTCTTGTAGATTAAAGGAAATAATTTATGTAAAGCTTCTAACACAGTACCTGGCATGTAGTGATCAGTCAATGCTAACTGTGAATGTTTTGGCTATGTCTCATTGTCTGCACTATTTTATTTAATCCTTGTTGCATCTTAGAATGAATATTATCCCCATTTAACAGAGGGTGAGACTGAGGCTGACTAGGTTGCACAACTAGTAAATGGTGAGTTTGAACTCAAGTCTAATGGACTCCAAAATTCATAAGCTTTTCATTGTAGCCACTGGCCAGAAGTTTTGGGTGTTTGGAGTGAAAGGGCTTTACTAGAAATTCTATCTATTAGTTTACCAAGCAGCCTATTCTTTTGTAGATACCAAATCAAGGGCAGGTCAGTCCTTCCTTCTTCCCTTTGAAATGTCACTCCATTAACAGAAAAATGCCTCAAAATTACTCTCCTGCAGCTTTTACCTTCCCCTGTTTTCTCAAGTGGTGCATACTTCCCTTGATTTTATATTTCTTTGGCCACTTCAATAGGAGTTTGGGAGGCAGTGGAATTAAAAGGTTCATCTTGCCACCTCCAGCCTGAATTCAGTGACAGACACTATAAATGGGGATAATCAGGAGACAGTGCAGATCAAATAGTTATTCTCATGCTGCCTCGTGGGTGTTCAGGAGCTGGAGCTCATCTGGGGACATAATGGTCAGGAAGGAGCATGTTGTGGAAGGTTCCATCTCCCTGCAACAGTATCATTCTGCCCAAGGAAGGCAAGGTGTCTGATACAACGTCTCACTAGAAAATGTGCATCAAAGCTTGACTGCTCATCCTGTCTCCTGAGAACAAATGCAGAATTCACAGATCTCACAGATTAGGCCATTTGCTTATCTCTGGCAGAGGTAAAACTGAAACTGTCTAGAGCAAAATGAGCAGCAACCCTCTTCTACCTCCCAAACATGCTATATCCTCTCAATCAGTATAACATGAGTGCCACCCCTGCACCCCACCTGTTTGTCTTTCCCCCCAAATCCTCCAACTCTAACCAACCCCACAGCAGAAGCTCCCATTGTTACGGCCCCACACCCTACCTTCACCTGTCTTCATCTGTCTGGCATCAATCTTCTTGTTCATTTTTACAGGGTTCTTCACATCACAGGTCCAAGTACCTTTGGGAAAATACACTCATTAGCCAGAGCCACCGCGGAATGACCTGAGAAGAAAAAGATCAGCAACCACCCTGGGATCCCAAAAGAAAGGGTCTCTGTATGATCCTGCTCTTGGAGATGAGGACACGCCTTCCATGGAAAGGAAAGAGGCTGGGTGAGCCCAGCAAAGGAGGTCATGTCAGTCGCTAGGCCCTCTGCTTTCTGGACTCCAAGCTTTCAAGGACTGAGTGCTGGACAGCCTGGGGGCTGTGTGGAGGTTCGACCATGGAAAAAGTGAAGGAAGGCCCCCACTTCCCCACTTCCAAACCATGTCATCTTCTCTCCCAGAGTTCATGTATGCTCATGTTACTGAAAGTGGGCCAAGTTCCTGCCCTCCAGGCTGTACTTCTCAAGCCTGGCATTAGCCGAGATGGGCAGCTGCCAGGAGTCCACTTCAGGGCCCCAGGCTCAGGCTGACATAGGGAAGTCTTAATGCTCTACATGGCCTTGCATGAGGGGAATTTGATGGGAACAGCAGTCTCGTGGCTCTTGAACTTGAGGGTACATGTCCCTGGAGGGCTTGTTATAATTCAGGCTGCTGGGCCCACCTCCAGAAGTGCTGATTCAGCAGTGAGTGTTCTAAACCAAAGGCGGGAGGGAAACACTGAAGATTTGTAAGGTTGTATTGTTAACTACCTAGTGTGGTGACATCAAACAGATCCAGGAGAACTTTTCAGTTCCTTTCCAGTTCTAAAACTGGAAAAGACACATCTGAGAATTTTTACCTGAAAATTCCTTTTTTTTATTATTTTTTTTTTAGATTTATTTTTTATTGGGGGACTGGGGGGATGGGAACAGTGCTGGGGAATTGGGGGAAGGGGAACAGACAAGTTGCTGTCCTTTTGTTCTTCAGTCTAGTTGTGGAGGACATTGCTTCACTGGCCCAAGTTGGCACCATCATTGCGCTCTTCCCAGGCGAGGCAGATCAGTCGCTGGCTTCTGGACAGCCGCTCACGCTGGCTGCTGGCCACTCACACTAGCTGCTGGATACACACGGTAGCCCATGGCAACCCACTGCCACAGGGGCTGCAGCCTACGCCGTCGCTGGCGACTCATGGCAGCCCAGCTCCAGGTCGAGTTGTTGTACATCTTAGCTGTAGAGGGCAGTGTCACTGGCCCTCATATGTGGGATCCGAACCGGGGCCCTCTGGCGTCCCAAGCCAGTTCTTAACCATCGCGCCACTCGGCCGGCCTGAAAATTCCTTATTTTATATGTTCAGTTTTGCCATCTCTGTGGACTTTGGATATTTATTTAAAAGTGTCATGAAGCATTTCTATGAAAAAAGAGCCTTAGATGATTTCTAACAAGTTCCCAGGTGATGCTGGTGATGTTGGTCAGGAGACCACATTTGAGGACCATCACTCTAGGAAAATGCTTCTCAAACTTTAGTGAGTATTAGAATTACTTGTTAAAACACAGACAGCTGGGTGTCACCCCTTGTGACTCTGATCCTGGAGGTCTGCTTTGGGGACCTGAGAATTTGAGTTTCTAACTAACTCTCCCATAATGCAGTGGGTCTAAAGACTGGATAACAAATCTAAATCTTTCTTTCAGTTCCATGTGAAACACTTCCCTGAGATAAGCAATTCCCAGGTTTTCTACCCCTTTTTTCCTCTAATCAAGAAACCGTTGTGGAATACAAGTGTGTTGTCGGCAGGGACAACCTTAAATTTCACTATATTTAAAGTAAATTATTCACAAATATCAGCATTTCATTACAACACATCTAACAAAGGATAGCATTTTAGAGATTCATTCATACTCTTAAAAAAAAAAAAAACACTAGTTTTTGTCAAACCTCCCCTGATCCAGGAGTCCCTACTATCAAGTCTTACTAACAATCTTGACAATACATTTTTAGGATAATTTACAATATCATGTTTCTGAGCCTGGGGGAGAAAAAAAAATGATCAAATAATCCTCTAACCTTGAGACAGTTTTACATAATAGTAAAAAAGAAAAATTGGAAGTGGAGGCATCTTATTTCTCCTTCTAAGACCTGCCATGGGATCTCAGAATTTCAGGTCATCAATTCCAAGTACCCAATAAAATTGAGCATGCCATCCAAGTGTTCCCCAGCCCAATCTGTCCACCTACAATGAAGGAGAATTCTTGACTTATCTTCCTGTGTGTTTGTACTTCTCCCCGAATGTACAATAGGGTTACTAAATCATGTCTGGTGGTGAGAAAATGTTTTGAGCTGCTGGTATTTTCAGAATTTTGGATAATTCCTTTTATCCTTTCTTCTAAGCTTCTAGCTAATGATCTCTGAAGCCTCAAAGAAGCCCAGTTTTCATGAATTGTTTGTTTAAACGTGCACCTGCAATTGTGTAACCCACCATCTTGCTCAAAACTTCTCTCCATAGTCATCGGACCCCTCCAAACAGCCCTCTGTGGCTGATAGGACAATTCTCGAGAAGGGCAGGTTGTTTTCATACCTGCTGATGCAGGAACTAGGAAACTATAAAACCAAGGGAGGGGATGTTTAAAACAGCCTCAAAACTCATGGGGATGACTTGTTTGTTGGAAAATAAAAGGAGACAAATAGTTGACATTAAGTCTGAAGACAAGCTGTGGGCTTTGATAATTTTCTTCAACTCTGGCACAAAGGTTCCATTTTGTCTCCCTATAAATGCAAACCAGCAGTCTACAGACAGGAATAGCACTGATGGGAGGGGCAGGAGGCATAACATTGAAACCGTTTTCTTGTTTCTCCTACAGGCACAAAGGCCCATGTTCAATCCACTGAGTTTACAAGCCCAGCTCCTCCCACCCTCCTACCAAATCTCTTATCCCACCATTTCCAGAATCTAGTCTGATATGCTGGGTTTAGGCTAAATAATTTCAAAGGAGTGATACTTGCCTGGAACCTGACACAAATGTATGACCTTGATCATGATCCTTAACTTCTCAGGACCTCTGTTATCTCACTTATGAGATGAGGATGAGAATGGATTTCTGTCTTGCTTCTCTCACAGAGGCATGGCTGTTATATTGAAATGTCTGGAAACAAATGTGCCTCTAAACAAGCAAGCCCTCAACTTTGCTGCTCATTGGAATCACTGGGGATCTTTTCAAAATTCAAATGCCCAGCTCCCGCCCCCAACATTGTGATCTAACTGGAATGAGAAACGACACAGGCATCAGAATTCAAAGCTTGATTCTAATGTGCAGCAAAGGTTGGGAACTACTATTATAGAATTTAAACTTAAAAAAAAAAAACCACTGAAGATTTATAGGATTTATAGGGCATTAACTATGTAAGAGATGGGAAACAGGTACAGGAGATCATTTCAGTCCTTTGGCAGTTCTGAGACACGTATTTTAATTCCAGAATTCTTCGTTATAAGTATTCTGTGTACTGCATGCATATCAGTGACCTTAAAACGTTTAAAATGACCATGGAAATGGTCATTTCCACCACCACCTGCCAATACCGGAATTGACTGACTTAGATCAAAGGAGAACCAGTGCCTTAAAGTACTGAGCTAAGAAAACTGTGGCTATGAATGGGATTCTCATGAAAGCTAATCTCACCCTCTAGGGTCTGTAGCCACAAGCTGCATCCTTATCTCAGGAAACCATCTTGCAAAAGGATTTTTTGGGTTCCAGGCAGGACCGATAGATGAGTGCACTGGCACAAGTCAGCACCACTCAGACTTTTAGCCCCAATAACGCTGTGAAAGTAGTGCCGTTTGCACACTCATGACAGGCAAGATGTTATCTTAACCCAGTGTTTCCTAAGCTGTGTCCCCTAGAATGCAAGAATCTCTCAAAATGTTAATAGGCTTTACTTAAAGGGAAAAATAAATAAAAGATAACTCTAGATGGCCACATAGCTTGCTTAATCCAAGGAACACTATTGATGTAGTGCATGGTGCTGTGCAATGTAAATTTAGCAGGACTGTCCTCAGTGAGGCGTTTGAAAACTGACATGTTTAACAAATTCCTTTAATGCAGGACTTCTCAGAGCCTGTACTATGTTAACTTATTCTGTAACTCTCCAAAAGGTAGATTGATTTCCTCTAATCTCATTTGACCAAGGAATCATTCATTCATTCATTGGGTAGGGCATCTCGCAGAACAAATAACCAGGAAAATGTGTGGCTTCTGAAATCCTTCTCCAGCCCTTGTTTCGGAACTGTGAGCATCAGAAAATGTTATGATATAAGAGGATGGAAGGATGAACCTACTCAGGGTATAGCTGGGTCTTCAATGACTCACCCCCTCTGAAATCAGCCTCAAAAGGTTGGTCCCACAAAAGTGTCCACACCCAGAAGAACAAGCCAGCATGAGGGCCTAGTGCTCTACTGGAAACTAGACCTATTTCCATCTGTTCAGCTTCTTTCCTCTCTTCTCTGCTCTCGTCTGCAGGTATTTTGTCTCGCTTGTGTCTCATCTCTCCCTTTTCTCCCTCTGCTATGCCCAAGAGTCTTGTCTGACCCCAGAAAGAGAACCAGTTCCGAAACAGGAAGCTGGTGCAGTTTCATTTCACCCCTGCATGTTATCCTCCTCAGCCTCTCACTTCCTCCCCTGCCCTCTGTTTGCTTGTCTGCCCTCTGGCTGCTCCTCATTTATTTTTGGCTGAAGAGGAAGCTGCCACTTAGGCCAGCAGTGTCTTGAAAGGCTTATCTCTAAGATCTGGAGAAACATTCCTGGGCATGAATCAACCTGGTGCAGTGTGTGTTTTATGTGTCGATCTCCATCCCGAGTGTATCCCTGCCTCCCTTCCATGTTACAGGCCAAGTACATGCTCTAATGCCCTGCATTTCAGACCTGGGAAAATACAGTGTACACACCACAGACTTCCCACTAGCCCTGCCTTTTCATGACTCTCTCCACCTCTTTATCCTGCCCCTCATCCCATGGAGGCTATGGAAACTCTTGCTGTAGTCTCACCTCTCCCTGATGGGCTCTAGGTGGGGTGATTTGATGTGACTTTAGCAGCACTGATGCTGGG